GTTACCTCTGTAGCCCTTTAGGAACTTGGGCCAGTTGTCAAATGACAAAGACCTACAGTTCATCACTGAGCCTGTGCTTGAGGAATCCCCACTTGGTACAACTTGTCAGAGCTTATACTTTCCTATTGAAGTCTTTGAGAATACACTCACCACTTGGGTGCCACAATAAGGTGTAGGGATTCACTTAACCCCAATTGCTCACACACACACACACACACACACACACACACACACACAAATTTAAAAAATTAAGGTGTAGGGGTAGGATTTTAATGAACATAAATTTAGAAATAGTGTTTTATTGTTTTGAGTCTCTTCCCCCTAATTCAAATCTATTTGTTAATTTAAAGTCTTATATTTTTGAAAGTGATTTGAATGTGTAAAATCTTAATTTAAAAAAAAATCCTTTGTCATTCGGATTACTTTTTGATTTTGTAATTCTAAATATTTTAAGAGTAGGTAGGTAAAGATTCTTTGCTATCTTATGGCTATTAGCTTCTTGTCCTTTAGGGGTAACTATGTTAACATTTTCAATGAGGTTGGCAAACATAGGTGAGGAAGCAATTAATTGATTTGTAGTAAATTTCATTGTTTTAGAGAAGGCAAAATTAGGGAGAGAAATTTAATTTTCTGGTATCAAATAATATAGACCATTGCCTTCATATTAAATATCTTAAAATATGTGGTATTAAGTATTTCAGTCATTTGTTAGTGAATATTAACTGGCTTGTTTCCTAATCTAATCTTTGCTCAAACCTCTCAACTTTAGTTGACAATTTGTAACAGAAATAAGGCTAGCACAGAGGCTTGTGTACTAGATGTGTTACTAAGTAATACTTCTAGAAAAAGGAGGAAACTCAGCTAGATGCCAATTTTTAAAAGTTATAAATTTACTCAGAATCTTATAACAGAAATTGAAAAATATCCATCTTTATAAGGAATATGTGATAGTAATCTTGATAAGTATTATACATGTATAATATCCAAATCCAGGCCATTCTTGAATAGAGCTATAATTCTAAAACAAGATCTTTTTGAGAGGAAAAATATGTAATAAGGACACATTGAAAAGTGAATACAAAAAACTACCCTATTAAAAATACATATTTGAGAGAAGCTTTTTTTAAACAAAAAGGAACTATATTTATTTATTTAACAAATATTAAGTTCCATCAGTATGCTAGGCTCAAGGATACAAAGGTAGTAATTAAGACAATCCAGTCCTTGCCCTCAGGGAGCTTGCATTGTACATAAATAAGCTGCCACAGAGAAATGTAGAAATTGAGAATAGCAAACATGTGGGGGACTCAGAAGGGAAATATATATGGGCCACTTTTACTTTCTTCTCCTTCATCTGTTCTTTCTCTCTACTCTTGAGACAGCTGCAGTAATTTTTGCTCCAATCCCCCTACTTCCCAGCCTACTCTTATTTTTTAACATTGAATTTTACAGAGCAAGTGTGTAGTCTAAGTTGAGGAAAAAGTGTAAAGTCTTTGGAGATGGTAACTTCTCCAGATCTATTCCTAACATCCATCCTTAGGGAACCTTTTAAGCCTGAGGTTTCAGGAGAGGAAACAATCATTGATAGAGTCTGCAGTGAGATCTCTTTTTTTAAATGCCTTGCAGGCACTTGTTGAAGAGGTAGAGACCAGAAAGGGATCTGCCTCCTATACTTTGCAGCACAAGTAACAAGGGCATCTGGAATAGGCTTCTGTGATCTGTGGGAAATTGTTGCTTCTGCCATGGAAACTCTGAAATTTAAGTTCTGTCTTTGCAACAAAAATATGATCTTAGGCAGCCTTCAGAACTGCCCTTTATAAAAGTCAGATTCAAGAGGAAATGTTAACAGTTAAGTCAATGTTAACAGTTAAGATGTCCCAATAACTTATCACAATGCATTTTTTCTGGAGTTGAATTAGTCTTCATTAACTGAATTTTCATGAAAGTTATATCAATAATAATATTATAATATTAGCTAACATTTATATAGTAAGTTAAAGTTTACAAATTGCTTTACATATTTTGACTCTTTAAGCATTTCTGTTTTGTCATTTTAATGTGAATGATGAATGTAATAATCACTTGTTATAAACACAATATGAAACAGTTATTTTACTAATCTGTACCTATTTGTTTTGTTAAAAAAAAAAAATGTCCAACTCAATTTGTTGTAATGAGTGCTCCCTATTTCTTGAGGGACTGAGAGTCCTGGCTTCTAGTCCTAGTTCTTCCATTAACTTGTATTGTGATGTGAACAAATTATGTCTCTTCTTTGGGCTTCTGTTTCCTTATCTGTAAAATGAAAGGCTTGGACTTGATGATCTCTAAGATTCTCTTCTATGTTTACCATTCTAAGACTCTTCTTATTAACTATAAAATTGCTTTCAGATGAATGATTACTTCATACTGAATTTTCTCTTTCCCACGTTCACCATCTAACTATTAGCACAAGGAGAAATGTGACTGTGGTACATGGCTTAGGTGTGTGTGGTGGTGACTGACACTGTGTCACTTAAATCACAAAGTATACTCACGATCTATCCATCCTGCTGCCATGGCTAAGTGAGGAAAGATGAGACGCCGCCAGTTTTCATTGGAAGAGAAAATGAAAGTGGTAGAAGCAATAGACACTGGGCAAAAGAAAGGAGATATAGCAAAGGAATTTGGGATCACTCCATCTACTTTGTCCACTTTTTTGAAGGACCGAGCCAAAATCGAAGAGAAAGTGAAGAAAGGAGTACTGAGACCTAAACGAAAGTGAATGAGAGGTACGCTTTATGGTGACATTGACTCAGCAGTGTTTGCATGGTATCAAGATGTGCGAGCAAGGAATGGCCCTGTCAGTGGTCCGCTTGTTCGGCAGAAGGCCCTGGACTTTGCCAGCCTTCTTGGTCATTATGAGTTTCAAGCAAGTATAGGCTGGCTGAACAGATTTCGTGCGCGGTATGGAATTGTATCAAAAGTAGTCTGTAATGAAGAGAATACTGCTCCCATGGAGAAGATAAGTGACTTGCGTGCAGGAGAAATTAAAAAGCTAATTGCTGACTATAGCCTTGATGACGTCTTTAATGCTGATGAAACAGGTATGCTTTATCCATTGCTGCCTCATCATATACTCTCAGCCAAAGGTAACATTTGTAACGGAGGCAAACAAAGATCGACTGCTCTTTTCTGTTGCAATGCATCAGGGACTGAAAAGATGAGACCTCTCCTCATTGGCAAGTCAGCTAAGCCACATTGTTTTAGCAATGCCCCTTTGCTCCCGTGTGATTACCAAGCCAATACACGTGCTCGAATGACACAGGATTTATTTAATGAGTGGCCGATAAAGGTTGATGTGAGGATGAAAGGAGCAAAACACAACATCCTCGTGTTAATTGACAATTGCTCTGCCCACAACACAGTTCCACAGTTAGAACATGTCCGAGTTGAATTTCTACCAGTGAACTGCACGGCCATCTTTCAGCCTTTGGATCGGGGCATAATACGCACTGTGAAAGCTCACTACAGAAGCCAACTACTGAAATTTTTCTCAATCTGGATGACGAAGACAAAAAGGAAAAAATTATTATGAAACAAGCCGTTGATATGATCGCTGAAGCCTGGTGGTCTGTGGAGCCATCTGCAGTAGTGAAATGCTGGCAGAAAACTGGTATGATTCCAATGAAGTCTCCTGATGTAGACCTGGAAGAAGATCACAAGTCAAATGTAGTATTTGAAAAAATATGGCACTCAATAGCCACTGCCACTGGTATCCCAGACCAGTTTGATTTTGAAGATTTTGTTGCTGCAGATAACAATTTAATTGTTTCTCAAGAGTCAGAGGACACAGAAATTATTGAAAGAGTGCTAACTGATGTAAAAATGGAACACCAAAGCAACGATGAGTGTCATGGGGCTGAAGAAATGGAACAGCCACCTGTGGCTCTTTCAGAAGCCATAGCGAGTGTTGAAAGCCTAAGACATTTTCTTTCTACTCGAACAGATGTTCCCAACAAGGTGTTTGCACAATTAAGTGGCATAGATGAGTATTTAGTGACCAGTGCAACACAAGCTATTTTTTAAAAAAACAACATAAATGTGCATGAGTTTGCTCGCCATTAAATAAAATGTGTAATTATTGCCTGTGAAGTCTGTAAAAACAGAAGACCTAATAAATAAAGACTTTTTGTTGTAAGTGACTTAATAAGAAATGTCTGTCAGAATGTAAGAATGAATCTTTAAGTCTTATTTCATAAATTTTTCTGTACAATGAAATTTCTGCTTAAAAACAAAACACTAGATGTTTTCAGTGTTTGTAAAGGGCTATAGGTTTTTTTGGTGGTTGTTTTTTTTTTTTTGCCACTAGATGGCAGGAATGGTAAGTCATTCTTGGGCCTAATAGTGCTAGAGGGGAAAACAAAGCTTCTCAAAGATTGACAATGAAATGAAGAGATTGAAGACATATAGGTGTATGCACCCAGTGTGGAGGTGGGAGAAACTTGGAAGATGCAGGAACGGAAAGAGAGTGATAGTAAACATGGGAATGAGTAAAGAATGGAAAGAACTTAGTAGTTAAATTGAAGGGAAAGATAGATCATGACTACCTAGAAAGCACATTGGGAGTAGTCATAGGTTGGGGAGACAGGAGAAGCAGTGAGCCCCGCAAAGAAAGAAGCACAATGGCTGCAGTTGGGGACCAGTAAACATGAGAATGGGTGTTAAAGAAGGACATAATCACTTTTCTCAAGGAATGTGGTTATGGGAATGGATGTGAGAAAGTTGGAAGATGAATGGAAGAAAGTATTGGGGGGATGGCACTTAATACACTGATCAATATATACCTTTAATATGTCTAAGGTATAAGAAGATTAAATGTGACTCAAGCTATTAGGCCTTAGCTTTACACCAGTATAGAGTTACTTTACTTCTCCAGATTCTGTTGATTTCAAATGATTTCAAAGGGCAATTAAACAAGGAAACAATTATGAAGAAAAAATGTCTTTTTATTTTGTCTTTAGGTAATAAATCATCTTTAATCAAGATGTCTTCAGCACCTGAGCCCCCAACCTTTAAAAATGAACCACTCAAAGAGAAAGACTTTCGAATCCCAGGGCTCAGGGGAACCCGCACAACCACCTTATTTCGAGCTGTGAATCCAGAGCTTTTCATTAAACCTGTAAGAAGTATATCCAAAAGCAATTAAGAATATATACATATATATATATATTTATTCTGAATTAGTCTTGGGAAATAGAAAGGCCTTGTGTTTCCCCATGTGATTTGATTTTTCATTGGAGTTTAATGTTGGGTAAATAAAGCTTTGTGTATGTGACTAATAGGTTCCAGTAGATGGAAGAAAAATCTTTAACTTTTATTATGCTAAAATGAACTAAATATGTTTACAATTCTTGGGGAACATGATAGAAAATGATGTCTAACTCTTAAAACCTTTAAAAAAAACAAATAAAATGTTTTTCCCTGTCATTTCTATCATTTAAAAAATTTGTTGTGGCTTAGAACTTGGGAAATGAAGGGGCAAAGAGATAACTTGTTAATCTTTTCAGTTCATGACTATCTTTTACTAAGAATGCTCTCATACTATAAATAATAACCTAATAATGCTTCCTGATGTTCCTAACTTACTATCAGCAAGTAGAGTCTTCACCAGATTAGACCAGGTCCATTAGGAAAAATTGTCTTGTGTTAACTCGAATTACTTAACTTACACTATATAGATTTAAAAGTAACTCAGGCCACTGCCATTTTTTCTCCTATGCATTCTCCTCCAGTAGTTTAGGCATACTTATTTCAGTAGTCATAAGACCCTGACACCGGAGGACCGAACTAGGTCCATCAGGTAGAAGGAAGTTAATGAGATTTCAGCTTAACATAAGGAAAAAGTTTCTAGCAATAAGAGCTGTATGAAGAAAAAAACTTAGAATGGGATGCTTTGGTGAGCACTGAGCTTCCTGTCACCTGAGGTTTTTAAGTAGACATTGGATGACCATATATATCAGTAATGGATAGTAGACATTACTACTTCAGGTTGGACTAGAAAATCTGTTAAATAATTTCCAACTCTGCTATTCTGTGGTTCTTAAAATATTCTCATGTCTGGATTTTAGCTCACATTTATATTATAAAAATAGTGATTGCTAGCTATATGATTCTTCAAGGTTTGCCAGAAGCTTTATATATGTTATCTCTTTTGATCATCACCACTTTGTTACATAGGTGCTATTATTACATAAGCCCATTTTAAAAATAAGGAAACTGAGGCTGAGAGGTTAAGTGACTAAATATTTAAGGCAGGATTTAGGTTCAGTCTTTCCTCACTGTAACTATATAGAAAGTTACATTTTATTAAGTTTGTGAACTTCCTCACTACACACTAAAGAATGGGTGATTTCAGTATTATCCTCATTTTCCTGATCAGGAGATGGAAGTTCAGAGTTAAGTGATAGCCCTATAGTCACATAAGCTAGTAATTAATTGTTTGTTTTTATCCCAAGTACAGTACTCACTATGACTAAAAAAAGAAGCTATTGATTTGATGAAAATGGTTTAAAAACAGATAAAAATTAAAATCTACTACTTGAGAGCTTACATTACTGTAGGGAAGACAATAATTAGTATTTTGGTTATTCAATCTCCAGTATAAAATACTTGGAAGTCAATTAGATCAAATCTTATAATCCAATCCCTGAGTCTAGATAGTGTGTAAGATGATTTTGAACTAATGTGTTTCCCATTATGTAGAAAAGTGAAAAAAAAATCAGGAATAACAAATTGAGGCTCTTGAGAGCTGGTTGTTTGTCTTTTAACATCTTTCAAAGAGAAATCATTTTAGGGAAAACATTTCTTTTTCATTCTGTTAATGAAATTTGAAATTTAAATAAATTCATAGTATAGAAAATTTGGGTGAAAGATATAAAGGAATATAAATTACCTGAGCCCTTTCAGCTTATCCATTACCTTCTATCAGTGTTATATGCACTGACATAATAGGAGGATTTTTTGTCCAGTATAAAAATGCTAAAGGGGTTTAGGGACTGAGGGACCATAATACAGTATGTAGGCCAAGAAGAAGCTTTGGAATTTTTGGCAACTTTCTGCTCTCCAGAATTTGTAGGACCCTGAGGCCCATTGCCATACCTCTCAATGCTTCCTCCATTTCCCCAGCTGTAAATGAAGTTACACCAATAATTTACTATTTGAAATTCAACAAATATCTATGAAGTATCTGCTATGTGTGTGTCACTGTTTTAGTGCTGGATATTGTGAGGATTTTTTTTAGCTGTGTATAGTGAAGTCTTCAGATAAAAAACTAAGTTAAAAATCCTTACTCCATGTAATGACCTCAACTCTATAAGTTATTTTTGTACGTGTCATATCCCTTTGTTAGACTCAAAGCTCCATGAAGGCAGAGACAGTGAGCAGAGGCTACTGGGCAGTGGTTTCATTGATACAGCAAACTCCTAAAGATGAAGTTTTCTCTACTAACAGATTGGCACCTGCTCTGCAACTTAAAATTTTAAAGAATTGCCTGGGCCAATAAGAGATTAAATGACTTGTCCAGGGTCATACAACTAGTAAGTGTTAGAGGGAGGACTTGAACCCAGTTTTCCTCACTGTAAGCCCAGCTCTCTATCCACTATACATAGTAGATGCTTTGTTATCGACCTGGAGGCATTTTGCAAGGACAACCAACTCTCAGTTTTTCTTATCAAAAGGGAAGAGGTACACCATCGAGACAGTGACATCCCTAGACACCTGTTTTAATCACAACTCCTCATTCCTCACCTCTGCTTTCATTAAAACCCATGAATTTGAGTTCTGCCTCATGGAGTTTCAGAGCTGGGAAAGAACCATAGGGATCCTCTCCTCTGGGACAGTCCTCTCGTTTTACATAGGAGGAAGCTGTCAGCAAACCCAAGGAAGCTTCCGATGGTTACATATGTGGGGTAAGTCCCAGAGACAGGTCTGAAACTGAGGTCTCCTGACTCCTAATGTAGCACCCATTGTGTGACATGTCTCTTGTACTTCTCTCTGCTCGGTGCTGGTAGACATGTTAACAAGTAACAAAGGGTCCAAGGAACACACAACAAAAGAGAAAAACAGGAGCAAGGTTCCTGGCTAATCCCCAAACTGGAGAATGTGCCCCTAGATAATCAAGTTGATGTTGAAAAATTATTACTGTTAATGATTCAAAAGATGCTATGATACTAAATCTAAGCTTTATAATGATAATGTGCATTCCAGAAGCAGTGGTGCAAGATGCCTGCAGCACTCAAAAGTAATATCCTTAATGAGGTTATACTTTTCTTTTTCCTTTGACAGAACAAGCCTGTTATGATTTTTGGAATGATAACACTTACACTTTGCGTGGCTTACATGGGTTACCTACATGCAACTCAAGAGAATAAAAAGGACCTCTATGAAGCTATTGACAGTGGGGGAGCCAGATATATGAGGAGAAAAACATCTAAATGGGATTAATAGTGCTGATTACTATAGACAGAGCTATATTAAGGTCTCTGAGATCTTCAGATGAAAGACTATATTGTACCAGGTATCATGTTTATAATCCTGCATTATGTTTATGTGTAAAGAATGTTAACAGTTTGGCATCCAGATTTCTGTATTGAATTCTGCCTTTCATAGCTGCAGCTCCTTCCCTTTACACGTACAGAAAAACGTTCAATTTTTTCCTCCTAGCAAAGCCTCTTGCAAAGTTCTGTAAGAATGCCAGTCATCTCTGTTGAATTGTGTAATAAAAGCAAAAGAAAAGTAGTTGCCTTTGGTTGGTATTCTTAACAAACCAGGAAGAGACTGTCGCAACAGCTGTTTGGTTTCTTTTGCTGTGTGCAAAATAATTCCTTCTCTTCATAGCAAGAAGATATTCATTAGTTAGGAAAGAAGTGGGGGGAAAATGTGTGCCAGTGGAATTGAGGGTATGAAAAAAGTTCAAAACTTTTTAAAAAAATTACAAATGTTCAGGTAGGTATGGGTCCTCTTCCTATCCTTCATTTAAACTATGACTGTGTTACAGACAGGTTTTCAAGATATTGCAGCAAGCAAAGGTGAACCAGAGCTCCTTCCTCATAGAGAATCTGCTAATCACCACAAAAAAAAAAGGAGAGAGGACTCCCTAAGTTTCCAGCCTAAATACATTATAGATAGCTAAGTGGCACACTGGATAGAGCACTGAAAGACCCAAGTTCAGATCCAACTTAAGACACTTCCTAGGCAAGTCACTTAGTTGATATCTGCCTCATTATCCTCATCCATGAAATGAGGATAATAATAGCATGTACCTCCTACGGTTGTTATGAGGATGAAATGAGATAATATTTGTAAAGCTACTTGTAAATCTTAAAGTGCCATATAAATGTTAATTATTATTATAATTCCAATTGCAGTTGTACAAGTGAGAATCTGAGATTTCACCAGTGGGAATTCTAGCTGCTTAAAGTTACCTTTCAAAATGTATTGTTCCCCCCCCCCACTTGGCCCCCCACCCTCTTTTTTTGTTGAAAATATACCAGAGTAAGATTATCTACTGATGAAAGTTACTTTGGGGAGGCTGGGATGAAGTGGGAATCATCCAAAGACGATGAAGCATATTGTCTTAGGGAGTGTATGAAGGTCCCTAGGTAGGCTTTTGCTTCAGATCTAGACATTCCAGGGCTGGTAATAAATCAATCAGTATCAATCAGTGAACATTTATTAAGCACTACTGTGTGCTTGGTGCTGTGCTAATTAATGCTAGGGATACAAAAAGAGGCCAAAGACAGTTCTTGCCCTCAAGGAGCTTATGATCTAGCAGAAACCACAAGCAAACAAATACATACAAACAAGCTTTATGCAGGTTAAATAAGATAGTTAACAGTGGAAAGACACTGGAATTAAAGAGAGGTTCAGAAAATCTTCCTGTAGGAGATGGGATTTTAGTTGGGACATAAAGCCAGGGAAGCCAGCAGGTAGAATTGGAGAGGAGGAGAATTCTAGGAATGGGGAACAATCAAAATGCTGAGCCAAGAGATGGAGTGTCCTGCTGATGGAAACCTGTAAAGGCGTTTCGGTCTTCGCTCACCCTCAACACTTGAGTTTTTTAGTTTCTTTAAATCTATTTGAAAAAATACCCGGGTAATCTACAAAAATTCATTCTTCATTGTTTAGTCGTTTTTCAGTTGTATCTGATTCTTCAGGACCCCATTTGGGGTTTGCTCGGCAAAGATACTGGAGTGATTTGCCATGTCCTTCTCCAGCTCGTTTTACAGATGAGGAAACTGAGGCAAAGGGGGTTAAGTGACTTGGCCAGGGTCACACAACTAGGAAGAGTCTGAGTCTTCCTGACTCCAGACCTGGCACTCTATCCAGTGAGCCACCTACCTGTCTACTAAAATTAGGGTAAGCGAAAGAATAATTAATCCAACGTGTTGGGTTTTCCTAGAAAGAGATTCGATATTATAGAATTTTTAATACTGGGTAAGGAAATCCCTACTGTTTGCAAAGTGATATTTGTCATAAAGCAGTTGTCACTGAACAAAGAGCAAGATTTCTGAAGTTAATTTTTAAAATTAGAATTATTGATGAGAACAAGTTTTCTTCCTTTGTGTTTACTGAAGTACTCCATACCTAAAAGTTTTGTCCTATTGGACCCTAGAATTTTTAATCTCCTTATATGCCAAATCATATCATTCAGAGTCAAGTTTCAAGACTTAGAAAAACTTCACTCTTTCTGAGGTCTAGTCAGTGTTGTTCTCAAGTTAAGCTAAAGAAAGATTTTTTCTCCCACTTTTTTAAAATTTGTGTCTTCTGCCTTTAGCTACAGTTGTGGTAGATGCTATATACATTTGTACACTGTCATATTAAGTTTTTAGATAGTATGGAGCCTTGCTAAATGAGCTGATGATGATCTGACAATTCTGACTCAAAAGCAAATGCTACTGGCTAAAAAAGAGTCAATGAAAATGAAGAGGAAAGTAGTGGAGGAGGAAGGGATGAGAAGCTAGGAGACCTGGATTGGAGCCTGGGGCTCAAGCTATACCTCAAGTCTGAAGTAGTCTTCCTAAATGTAAAATTCTAGGAAGACTTCTAACTACACACCATAGGACAGTGTTCATAGTATGTATAATATATGAAAAGAACTGGTACATGTATGGGTCTTGTCATCCACCCTTGCTTTGTGACCTTCCTTGAGTCACTTGACCTTCAAGTCACCACGGCAGAATGTTGGATAAATGAAACTGATACCACCTAGCTCACAGAGCCATTGTAAAAGAATAAAAAGAAATAGTATGTGAAATGTTTCGTAGCCATAAAGCTATTATTCTTAGATCCTAAATGTTGCATATATATATAAGAGCAAATCTGTTCAGTAGCCTTCTTGCTGTTCCTGGTATGACACTGCATCTCCTGTCTCTAAGCTTTTTCACTTACTGTCCCTCATGCCTGGAATTCTTTCTCTCCTCATTTCAGCTCTTCTTGATTCCCTGGCTTCTTCAAGGCCCAACTAAAGTCCCACCTGTATAGGAAGCCTTTCCTGGTCCCTCTTAATGCTAGTGTCTTCCATCCGTTGATTATCTCAGTTTATCCTGTATATATCTCACTTATATGTTGTTATAGTTGTGGCCCCCATTAGACTATGAACGCCTTGAGAGCAGCAATTGTTTTTTTTCTTTCTTTGTCTTATCAGAGCTCTTAGCATAGTACCTAGCACATAGTGGGTGTTTACTAAATGCTTGTTGATCACTAGCAAATAACATCTTCCTCTCTTACTATATAGTAAATAAATAGTTAATCTGTAGCTAAAATCACACCACCCTTTCCTGATCCCCTTTGTTGCTAGGGCCTTCCCAATAAAGTTTATCCTTTCTATTGTTTGTATATAGTTGTTGCACATTATCTCCCCCTTTAGACATTGAGATCCTTGGAAACAGGGACTGTCTTTTGGCTTTCTTTGTATTCCCAGCTCTCAGCACAGTGCCTGGCACATAGTAGAATAAGTGCTTATTGAATGGATTTAGTTTAGCCCTGTAATACAGTATATTGTATAACTTAGACCAAAGTGGTTCAAAATATCCTTTACATTTAAAACTAATACCCTATTATGCATTTGACTGACTCGTGTCCATTGGTGCCCTAGAACGGTAGATCTAGTATTTTATAGATTGCAGTGTAATTGTTGCCATGCTCTCTTTTAGATACAATTCTAGACCATTAAAACTTTTGATATAGAGGAAAAAAGGTAGTTATGTGGCAGGCTGAAGCAGAGTAAGTGCAGAAAGGAAGGCCAGAAGTCTTTAGGATTAATTTAACAGGTTCAGCAGCAAACATGTATTATGTGCCTGGCACCATGCTGGGCACTGAGGAGATAAAGATAGACACCAAATAGCTCAAGTTGTTTACCTTCAGCTGGGGGAAAGAGAGGATACAGCTAAGTGAATAGAAAGTAGTTTCAAAGGGAGATACAAATGGGAGAGGAGGTGCTTCAGAAAAGACTTCATGTAAGAGGTGACCTTAGAATTATACTTTAAAGGAACCTAGGGACTTCTAAAAAATAGAAGTGAAAAAGGAATGCCCAGGGTTAGCAAAATTGTGGAAGCAGGAAATGAAATGCTGTGCATTAAGTGGAATATATTTATAAATAGAGTGACATGAAAGTAGATATATGTGCATCTCCATCAATACACCTAGCACAGCTTAATGTCTCAAAAAAAATTGATATTGTCCCATTTTTAAACTTTGAATTTTAAAGCAAAGTTCGAGTTTTAGTTGCTTTAGTTTGATGCATTAAAAATGACCTTTATGTTTGAGTATTCAGTAAATATTTGCCTTAAATAAAAAAATAAATTCCTTGAGTTTGGGAGTGGGAGGTAGCTCTTCACAAGTAGTGATTCTAGGTTAAGCTTAAATTTTAAGAGGCAACATTTCTAACAATTAGTCGGTTCTGTAATAATGATTGCAGCTGTAGACCAAAGAACAGTCTTCATGTGTGTAGAATATGCAAAGGGAATTGGTCTTGTCAGCTGTACATCTCAGTTGCCATAGGAATGTCATTCAACAAGAGGTCCAGAGGTCCTTCATTGTAATGTAGTGGAGACAATGCTGGTTGAACTTGATATCAGGAGATCTGAGTTCCAATTCCTGCTGTGCCACTTGATAATAGCTCTGTAACCTTGGATTGTGGAATCATAGACTATTAGAGATGGGAGGGACCTTGAAGACTACCTGCTAAATCAAGCTTTCAGGATCCCGGTTTTCCTCATCTGTGAAGAGAGAGGATTGATCTAGTCTCTAAAGGTCCCTTCTGTTTCTAACATTGTCTGAGAAAGGTCTGCTCATTTCTTTCAGAGCCTAAAGGATAGCTGAGATGGAAACACCTAAGTGAGATGATTTACTGTAGCATTACAACTGAAAAGGATTTTTGAAGATTCTCTAATCCTCAGGTCCTTGGCCTGGGGTCTGTGAACTTAATTTTTGTTTGTTTGTTTGTTTTTAATACTGTTATGACTGTATTTCAATATGAATAGTTTCCTTTACAATCCCATTTATTTCATTTTATTCATTTAAAAACATTGTGTCGAAGCAGCTAGGTGGCACAGTGGATAGAGCGCCAGCCCTGGAGTCAGGAGGACCTGAGTTCAAATTCAGCCTCAGACATATAACACTTACTAGGTGTGTGACTGGGCATGTCACTTAACCCCAATTGCTTCACCAAAACAAAACAAAACATTCTGTCAAAGGAAGTCTATGATGCAAAAAAAGGTTAAGAAACTTGCCCTAGTCCCACACCCTCATCCTAAAGATGAGGAATTCAGGATATGCTTTAAACTATTAATCAGTAAAACCTCAAATACAAGAAAAGAAATGGTGAGAATAAGAGCACCGGTTTTGGTATTTAGTGGCTCTGTGTTTTCATCCTGCCTAGTGACTATTGATAAGAAAGACAGAAGCAAGGAGTAGAGAAGAGAGGGAGAAAGGCTTCCTTAAACCAGGTGGAAAGAAAAAGCGGGGAGAGAAGAATGAGAAAAAAAAGAAACAAAGAAGGAAAGAAAGAGAAAAAGAACTGTCAGATGGTCAAGTCACTTTTATGTCATGTTTTGATAGTTTGAATATATATATATTTGTGTCATTACAATAACAAGTTTGTTAATTATATAACCTAGGAAACCAGATCTGATTATTTGGGGAGCTGACTTCATTTTCCCTCTAAACTGTAGTGTCATTTCCCAAACAGTAGTTTTATCGCTACATTACCAAGCCTTTCATTCATATGTAATCTGATGTACTTCCTGCAGTGTGGACCTCTGGGAAATCAATTATTTCAATACCTTAAAATAAAGCATCTGAAAAACTGTGAAATACTCCATAGTAATCTCTTTTGTCATTTCCAGACACTTTTGTGAGCAAAGCTTTACCCTGGCAACAGTTGCTAAGTAAGTTACAATTTATAGCTTCAAGTCTGAAGGTCAACATTCAGTAAAACCACCTTCTCAGCTCCGTGCAGTAAGGTCCTTCAGTTTTCCCAATGCTTTTATTTGTAGAGATTCCTTTAATTCATAATGGTGAATGATTTAATCTTCAAGCGATCCTCCCCTTGAAACAATATACCACCTCCGGTCTGCTGAAAAGATTATTATCCCTCAGAATCCCTATTATTGCTTTTCCTAATCCTAGAATGACAGTTATTAGCCACTCCACATTTTGAATATTGTCTTAAATTCAACCATGATTCGGAATCCAAATCTCGAAAACTTTGTTTGCTGTGCAGTGTGTAATAAAGTAATACCACCACCACCTACTGAGGAAGCTTTTGAACAGATCCGTGAATACAAACCATTTAAGACAAGGTTTTATACTCACAAGGATATACTAGGTAAGTGAGTCTGTGATCTCCTCTAGTTGCACTAATATTTCGTAGTGGCAGATCTAAGCCTTCCTGTCACCTCATTGTCCATCTCTTCTTATGTTTGTTGATTAAAGTTACATGATCATTAACTTGTGAGTCTTCCAACTTTTTTTTCAGTCCAGATCTATGACTTCATCAGTGTAGAGAATTCCCAGGATGGAGACTCTCTAGTGCCGCAACTTTAATTTACAGTCTTAGAGAGTTTGCTTAGGGCTTTTGAGAGGTGAAGTGAATTGCCCAGGTTTACACAGCCACCATGCATCAGAGGCAGGAGTTCCTGCTCAGACTGATGAGACTTACCATACCATAATATCTATTAGGATCTGCCTCTATGTCATGTCTCCAAGTAACTGGGGTAGGTAGAGGACAGGAATTTCCACTAAAAGCAAGAACTAATGTGACTCCTGGAGGAAAATTTGTCTCCCTTGCTGCTTCTTTCCAATCAATCAAGAAGCATGCAGTATGCATGCTGCACTATATATGTACAGGCTTACTTTAAATCTAGGTACTTTCCACTTCCCCTTCTTCAGCTGCCTTCTCTGTTCTGTGGTGATGGTATCTACTTCCGCAGCTTCAGCTATTACTTCTGTGCAGTTCGTAGGATAATTTATTTATAGCTGGAGGAGACCTTGGAGATCACCTAGTCTACCACCTATCTTTTACAGATGAAGACAGTGAGACCCAGACGGGTGAATTGCTTGCTCAAAGGAGTGTAGCCAAGATTCATATTAAATTCCTCTGCCTTTGAACCCGGTGCCCTTTGCACAGCACTGTAAAGGTTCTGAAAATATTATCTACCTACTCTAAAATCTTCAGTAGACGGAGTCTACTGCTGGTGGAGGCAAGACCAAAGTCCCTCATATGACATTGAAACCCTCCGTAATCTGGTTGTTTTTTTTTATATTTTTTTTCATTGTCAAGTGTTTTAATTTTTCTTCCTTCCACCTCTCCACACCAATATTGAAAAAAAGAAAAGAGAAATGAAAGCCCTTATTAAAAAAATCTTCATTGTCAAGCAAAACATTTCATTGGCCATATTAAAAAAATGTCTCATTTGCATTGAGTTTGTGATCATCTCTCTCGGGAGGTGGACAGCATACTTTTTTTTTACCATTGGTCTTCTGGTTGGTAGGTGGTCCTTACACTTAATACTCAGCATAATTTGGTTTCAACTTTATCTTAACAGTGAGAAAACAGAACAAAACACCAGACTTGAAGTCAGAAGACCAGAGTTTGAGTCAGAACTCTGCTTCTTATTAACTGACCTTGGGCAAGTCAATCTCTCTGAGCCTCAGTTTCTTCATTTGCAAAATAGGGATATTTGCTTTGTCTATGTCACAGGATTATTGTGAGGATAAAATGAGATAATATGTCAGAGTGCCCTGTAACCATCAAATGTGCTGTAAGTTATTTCTGTTACTGTGCTTCACGTGTCCTATATTGTAGCCACACTAGATCAGAGAATTATAGATTTAGAGATGGAAGGGACAAATGAGGGAACTAGGTCACCCTGAGAAGTTAAATGACTAAGCTGCCCAAGCTTACATAAAATAAGTTAAAGAATTGGGATTAGAACCCATATCCTCTGATTCAAATCTCAGCTCTCTTTCCTTTATGTGACTTTGCCTTTCAGATTACTTGCATTGTTGCATTGCATAATAATATCCCAATCAGTCAATAAACATTTATTAAGTGCCTACTATGCGCCGGGCACTGTGCTAATTGCTTTCCTGGATCCTTGTATCTTCCACCTTAACTTTGTTTTTTTTTGTTTGTTTGTTTTTAGGCAATTGGGGTTAAGTGACTTGCCCAGGGTCACACAGCTAGTAAGTGTCAAGTCAAGTGTTTAGTCTGAGGCCGGATTTGGACTCAGGTCCTCCTGACTTCAGGGCCGGTGCTCTATCCACTGCACCACCTAGCTGCCCCCTCTTCTACCTTAACTTTAAATGCCTCCCTTTCCATTCCTGTCTTTTAAAATCCTAACCATCTTTTTGACCCAGCTCAAATGTCACCTCCTTTGTGAAATATTCCCTGATCCCCCTTGTAATCTACTCAGGGAGTATAATTACATAATCTTTTCTTCATTCCTTTATCCCCAGTTTTCCTATCAGAAAAACATTCCAAGCTGACTTTGAGCCTTATAAAATGACTCCCTAAAATAATCCCAAATGCTTCTTTGTCCTTTTTTTGTTGTTGTTGTTGCCCTTATATTAATACTATGTGACTAGATGTAGTTCCATTTCATTACTAGCATCGTAGTAGGGACTGTTTATCCAGTCCCTTTCCCTTATATAGGTTAGGCTAGTTTTTTTCCATAAAGGTATGAAGACCATCCTTCAGATTTGGTGGCTCAGGGGACTAAAGATTTATACTGTTGACATCACTTCCTCTTTGCTGGAGTACAAAAACAACCATGAAGCACCGCATAACGTTCTCTCTGAAGCTTGACTGGGAGATCCTGATGGGTAGTTCAGACTGGGGAGCTTTGCTCATCTGAATCACTTGAGCTGTTCTGAAGGCCTATCCTCGTTTAATATCCTTCTCTTACTGTGGCAAAGTAAATCTCCTTTTATTAACTGTTGATTGACCTTACAAGTATCTCATTTTGTTTCTAAGGAAAGGGATAAAAACCTCAGACCAATGGCTCCCCACATGTGACTGAGTAAGCAGTGACTCCCTGAGGTCAAATATCATCACAGGCTGATTTCCGAATGTGGTCTGGCCATCCCAGGGCACATTCTAGGCTAATTCCCACTACCCATAGATAAAGTGGCACACAAGAGACCCCAGTTCTCTTGGGAAACTCACAAGCAGTAACAACTCTGAGGTTCAAATTCCATGGAAAATATTCTTCAGGTAATTACACTAACACCAAAAAAGTACAGAAACAGAAACACAAGACTACAGTGGATATAGTGGTTTCCCTAGTTCTGTGTCCCTATAGCTGATTAGCTGTATTCTAATGGTGCCTAATACTTCCTCTGGCTTCTCCAGAGCAGATCTAATTTTTCCTAAGTTGGCCTAATCCTGATCACTAACACTAGTGGATATTCTGATATCAGTTAATTAATGAATATTATTTGTTAAAGAGCCTATTATACGCCAAGTATTGATATAAATACAAGAAATGAACAATCCCATAGGAAGAGCTTACATTCTAATGGAGAAGACAACAAGTATACATGTAGAATTGTGTATATACTGTTGCTGGGAAGTACCTGGAAGCCCTGGGCCTGAACTGCTGCCTGTTCTTCCAATTTAACTGACTCTTCATTATTACGTCTACGTAGGGACATCCCTGCCTCCTCTACAGCCAAATCCCTGCCAACACAATGAATGTTCATCTGTGCTAATGATAGGTCATCTGGGCAGTTTGACTTCCCTGCCTTCTGTGGTTGGCCTGTGGGAGCTGTCAATGGGAAAAGTAAATGGAACACCTTTTATAACCATACTTGTCAATTTCCAAAAGACTTTCTAGAGTCCATGGAATATGAATAATTAACTATGATTCCTGACCTGATTTGACTTTCTGCTTCCAAAACAGTGTTTCCTTATCACTGTATAAGGGAATGCTTTTTTTTTTTTTAATGGCTGAGAACACTTTATTCAGAAGGAATAGATTAGAGAAAATGGGCAGCAAAGTAACTATGTCAGGCTGCATCCATGAAAGGAAGACCTTGAACTGGAGAGGAAGACACAGAGAGGAAGACTGGGTGAGGATGGGTGGAGGGAGATCCAGAAGCAATATTGTTGACCATTGGACCAGAGAAAGGAAAGGCATGATGAGTTCCAGAAACAGATCAGAAACCTGGCGTGAAGGCATGGTTGAGTAAGGATGAGGCATTTCAACTATGTACATCTGCTTGAGCATTTTCAGTGTACTTCAAAGGGTAGAAGAAGAAGTAACAAGGGGGGCAGCTGGATGGCACAGTGGATAGAGCTCCAGCCTTGGAGTCAGGAGGACCTGAATTCAAATCCGGCCCCAGACACATAACACTTACTAGCTGTGTGACCCCGGGTAAGTCACCCAACCCCATTGCTTAACAAAAACCAAAAAAAGAAAGAAAAAAAGTAAAGAAGCAACAAAGGAAAATGTTTTGCACATGATTCTGTCCAGGCAGGAGAAGCTGTTGGTTTCTTTGGAGAAATGAGAGGGGCCTTGCGGTGACACGATCATGCCATCTTGCAATCTGGATAGACTAGATAACCCATTACACAAGATGATTGGAAATTGGTGGATAGACTCCCACTGTAGAAGGGGTGCCTGCTTTGGGGGAGGGGGTCAGAACAGGTGAACTGGAGGTTCCTCTGTAACTCTGCAGTCCCATGATTTATCCTTGGAGCAATCCAGATTTACCTTAGATGAGATCTTCCAGTCCCAGCTGGTGAGCTTGGTATAGGCAGTGTTTCCCGGTCAGGGAATCATATGATGAGGTCTTCAGGTTAGTCCTGGGATCCCAAAATCACAACACGTGGGTCCTGCCCAAAAGAATTCGACCCAAGCCTTCTTTCAGCCAAAAACAAGGTTTATTAGAACATCTGCCACATTAGGCAGACTCTTAAGGAGTCTGAACATCAGTGAGCTATTGTCTAGATTATAAGAATCAGAGCTGGGAATGCCTTTTTTTTTTAAGACTTCAGCAAAATTGAAGATATAAAGCAGGAGTTCTCAAACTTTTTGGTGTCAGGATCCCATTACAGTCTTTAAAAATTATTGAGGACCTCCTCCCTCAAAAAACTTCTGTTTGTGTGAGTTGTACCTGTTAATATTTACCATGTTAGAAATTATTATTGTTGTTGTTTGTCCTTGGTACTTGAAGAGGACCAATTATATCACAATGTTGGGGTGAAGGTACAGTGTGTTCAACTGTGGCTGATCGCTCCAATATGAGCTCAGAAGGCTCCAACAAGGTTAGGCACAAATAGTCCATTTAAACAATTTGGGATGGAGATGTCTTTAGATTTGCACATCTCTGTTTCCTTCGTGCTACTGTAATTCTGCTTTACTCATAGAGCATGTAGCACCTTCTTTGATGGGGGCGGTCTTGTGCCAGCATCTCCCATGTCTCACAATTGATACTAAAGTTCTTCAGAGAGACCTTGAGAGTGTCTTTGTACTGCTTCTTCTAACTTATGTGTGAGCACGTGCCTTATGTGAGTTCTCCATAGCATATTAGTACTAGACATTGTATTATTATTATTATTATTTTGAAAATAGCTTTGATCTCATCTCTCCATGTACACCCTTAAAGGGCCTTGGGGACTCATGACCATACTTTGAGAACTGCTGCTCTAAGGGGAAAAGATGGAGACAGTGAAGTGTGAGAGTAAGGTCCTTGCTTATGAAAAGACCAGTAGAGATAATAAACCTGCCCCTGGGCACAGATTGCTTCCTTACTACCCTTACCTCCAAGTATTTGTGTAAGATCCAGTAGGAATCTAGAAATTTAACTGTATGGTCACCATAAGTTAGGATGAGGTTTCCTCACCGAGGGAACCCAGTTCTGAACCATGAATAGCTGTTGAACAGGAAAGTTTATAACTCTTCCACCTCCTGCCTGTTAGATAATAAATCTCAAAGCCAAGACCCTTTGGGCGTCAAATAGGAGTGGCTTTTGTCAGTCATTGACAAAAGGTTTCTACCCTTTCTGAAAGAGCCCAGTAGCACTCCAGCTGAAAGGAACACAATTTCCCAGCCGAAGTATCAGAATAACCCCCAACCCTGGCTGAGGTTAAAGGTGGTAGAGTGTATATAGCTCTACATCAAAGAGTGATCTCAGAGAGTCCAGCAGATAAAGCCATCCAGTACAGGTGCCACATTCTCTTAAAGCGTCAGCGTAGCGGCCAAGTAATTTTCACAATCTACCCTGGCAATAAATTGACCTGTCCAGCTGAAAATCCTGTGCATTGTAAAGAGCCAGTTAAGTAGTGGAGCAACCCATCTGTCACTGGCATATTGCCTCACCTGCCAGTGAATTTCATGAAGATTCTAGAAAGAAGGACTTCAAAGTTCTACAGTTTTGGAGTTGTGGGTTACCTTGGCCACACAGTTCTTCTGTATGTGTGTCTTATTACCACTGCACTTTCAATTTGTGCCTACTTTTCTGTCTACTTCAGGACTTTCAGTAGGAGAGTATACCTAGATTTTTGGAGGGGGAAATGCTTTGTTGAGTAAATATCTTTTCCAAGAGCTAATTGAGTCTACTGGATAATTGCTAGTGGAAAGTCCACCAGTGGGGGCTTGTGTACTATAGTGTTATGAATAGTCACTCACAAGATTGTCCTGGAACCCAAGGTAGTAGATGCCCTTCTGGGAACCCAACATGCTAATGTGAGTACAAATTGGGAGAGGGAGTCCAGAAGGAGTATAAAATAAGTATGACTTTATTTACTCTTTTGATACTTTGGAGGTCATGTTGATTTTTTTTACAGGCTATTCCAATGCAGTGTTTAATATTTCAAGGTCAGATAGCTAATGTGTGCTCTATTATATGTGCTCCCCAAAGGAAGAAAGTGAATCAATTACTTATGAAGTTTAATTAGGTTCATAATTAAAATACCTTTAATGTCAAATTTGGGGTCTACACACTATCTTCACTATATGCTATAAAAATAATTTAAATTACTTTCATTTCACATGCCTGATCATGTTTCTTCCCAACCAATCTTTAGTCATTCAATTTTCACACTGGAGAATAAAAGACTGAGAGGAGGTATCACCACTGTCTTTTAGTTGGAAGAGAGATTAGATTTCTTCTATTTGGCCCCAAAGGACAAAACTAAGAGCGGTGAATGGAAGTTGGAAAGAAGCAAATTTAGGCTTGATGGTGCCAGGAAACTTTTGAAACAATTAGAGCTATCCAAAAGTGGAATGGGCTTGACACATGAGTTCCTTCTCAGTGGAGGTCTTCAAACGTGAAATGAGCCAACCATTTCTAGGGTATATTGAAGAAGGGATTTTTGTTTAGGCATCGGTTGGACTAAATGACTTCTGAAGACCCTTCCAATTCAGAGATTCTGTGAACACCATCCTCCCTCAGGGCTCACAGCCTGGAGTCATCCTGTATTCCTCACTATCTCTCACCTCCCATAACTGATCTGGTGCCAAGACCTGTCAATTTCACCTTTGCAACATCTCTTGAATAAGCTCCCTTCTCTTCTCTAACACTGCTACCACCCTGGTGCAGGTCTTCATCACCTCATGCCTGGATTATTGCCATAGCCTGCTGCTGGGTCTGCCTGCCTGAAGTATCTCCCCACTCCAATTCATCATCCATTTAGCCATCAAAGTGATTTTCTGAAAGAGCAGATCTGACCATGTCACCACCCTACTCAACTCCAGTGGCTCCCTATCACCTCCAAAATCAAATACAAAATGCTCTGAGGCTCAAACACCTTCACAACCTAGACTCCTCCTATCCAGTCTTTTTAGACCTTGGTCCCTACCATGAACTCTTCAATCCAGTGATACTGGCCTTCTGGCTGTTCCATAAACAAGATACTCCATCTCTCAGCTCTGGGCATTTTCTCTGACTGTCCCTCATGCCTAAAATGCTCTCTTCATCTTTGCCTACTGGCTTCCCCAACTTCCTTTAAGTCCCAATTAAATTCCCATCTTTTACTGGCAGCCTTTCCCAACACTTCTTAATGACAGTGCCTACTTTCTCTTGTTTACTTCCTATTTATGCTGTATATAAGCTTGTTTGTATGTAAATTTTTTGCTTGTTATTTTCCCTATTAGATTGTGAGCTCCTTGAGGTCATCTTTTGCCTCTTTTTGTATCCCCTACTTTTATGTCCCTGGCACATAGGCACTAATGCTTATTTACAGACTGACTGAATACTATACTAAGCAAATAAACATGAACATCAGCCCTGTTTCCAACCAGCCCCCATGACCATCATCCAAGGAAGTGGTCTCTCTATAGCAGAGAGGCCCACCATTTTTGCTACCACCAATACCAACTGCTAGCCAACTGCCACCATCAAGTAGGTAATTGACACTGAGACAAGTGACTTGCCCAGGGTCACAGAGCTAGTAAGTGTCTGAGACCAGATTTGAATTCATGGAGATAAGTCTTCCTGACTCCAGGCCCAGTTCTCTATCCACTGCACCACTCTATTGCTGACATGATTTGTGGTACTTGTTCACAGATATTCAAGTGTGCCCACATGTAAGCATCAGGGACTATAAGTGTTTTAATGAGGGAAAGATGCAATCTCCTCCTAATTCTTCTTCAAGAGGATCAGAAGAGAAGGAGGGAGCAAGCCTTTGAATGTTGTCTTGTCTACCAAGTTTCACTTGCCGAGGGAGAATACAAACAGACCAAAGGGCCTGGAGATAAAAATGATATAGGATGATGGCCTCTGCTAATTTGGGGGGAATAAAAGGCAAAAGTGAGGAGTTTGGGGTATAGGAAGAGTCTATCTTCATGACTGGGCCATCCTTTGAGATGCCACTGTTCCATTTGAACAATAAGGCAATAATGAAGAGCAGGGGATCTTATATATAACCACTCCTGAAAGTGGCCAAAGGGCAGAATCATTAGATCTGCCTGTGTCACAGCAGTGAACTAGGAAAAAGTCAAGGAGATGTCCTAGTTCCTGATTTTCCCAACTGATTGGGAACTGACCTTAAGGAGGCCATAATTAGAAGAACCTTAGGGGAAGATTGCTGGTTCTGTGTAGGAGTACCTGAATCATGTACCTGGAACTCCTGGATTTAGGGCTGCCTAGGATTGAAGGATGGCAATTAGGTGATGTGGTGGATAGAGTGCCGGGCCTGGAATCAGGAAGACTCATCTTCTTGAGTTCAAATCTGGCCTCTGACACTTACTAGCTATGTGATCTTGGGCAAGTTACTTAACTTTGTTGGCCTGTTTCCTCATCTGTCAAATGAGCAGGAGAAGAAAATGGAAAACCATTCCAGTATCTTTGCCAAGAAAACCCTAAATGGGGTCATGAAAAATCAGACACAACTGAACAACACCACCATCCAAGCATGAGAACTTTTTGGATTTTAAGTACTTGTAAAATGGGTGTAATAATTCTTACCTCACAGGGTTTCTGTGAATATGAGATGAAATCATGGATGTAAAAGTGCTTTACAAGGTTAGAAGTACTCCTTAAATATGAAATAGTAGTAGTACTACTACTACTATTATTACTACTAGTCCTCTTTTCTACTGAACCCCACAACTGAAGGCACTGAATTCATGAAAGTACATGTGGGAAAACTCTCAATGTGAAAATTCCCTCCAGCAATGCAAATCTGCAGCTATGTAATTTGCAATCTTGGAGACCTGGCTGGGACACTGAGAGGTTAACTAACTTGCCCAGTCATATAGCATGTGTCAGAAGGAGCACTTGAACTCAGGTCTTCTTGACTTAAAAAATTACACCATACTGCCTCTCAGTCCTTTTGGTTGTATCCCTGAAATGGATTGTCAGGAAACTTTCTTCAAATTGAAATAAGTCATAACTAGATTTTGTTCATTCATTCCTCAGCCAAATATTTATTGAGCACCATCTATGTGCAAACCATTATGGTAGGTTCTGAATATACAAAGTACAAAGGTGATCAAAAGATAAAAGGCCATCTTTAGATGCTTACTATAATTTTCATTCAAATATGCAGATATTGGGATTGATATTCATCAAAAGGAAGAAAAAATTAATCAAGATAAATTGGAAGAACTTCTTAAAGAAGCACAGGATGCAGTGTGGGCAAAGGTAAAATATATTGAAACCTATTTAAAATTGTTATTTTCAAAGTCTTACACCAAGATCGGCATCTTGTCTCTTATGTTCTATTCAAAAGTATCCTGTATAATTCTGGAAAAGGTCTTTGTTCAAATTCATGTGTGTGTGTGTGTGTGTGTGTGTATACAAGAAAAATGCCACAAGGGACACAACTGTTCTGTATTGCCTGGGCCTCTTTTTGGCAAACTTTCCCTCATCCTCCATGCCTACACCATGTGTCTATGGACTTACACTTCATTCTGGTGGGAATCATGGAGCTATACCAAGCAATTTGGAGTCCCCCAAACCTTGACAATCCTCTTTAAAAAACAGTGACTGGGACCATTCAGGAGGCACACAGTCCTTCCTGAAAGTGTTCCTTTCCTACTCCAATTATGTTGACTTGTTGCTGCACAAGTTGACTCACTGAGTGGTTGTAAAGATGAGCAAATAGACAGATTTGAGATGGTGTCATGGAGTACTGGACTTGGCATCAGGAAGATCCTGCTGTACTTGCTCACTGGCATTGTTATCCTGGGCAAATCCTTTCATCTCTCTCAGCCTCAGTTCCCTCATCTATAAAATGGGGATAAGGATAGCACTGAAATGATGATAATGAAAGCACTTACCTCACTGAGTTGTTGAGATCAAATGAGATAATATATGTAATGTACTTTTTTGAGCCTTAAAATGCTACATGCTAACTATTATTATTAGACTAGAGCATGTCATAAAGAGGACTGACATTATAAAAAGCACAAATACTCTTTCATTTCTTCATCTATAAAATGGGGACAAGAAGAAACATGTTCTAATGGACAGATGTGGCCTTAGAGACAGGAATGATAATAATAGCTAGAATTTAGATAATGCTTTAAGGTTCGCAAAAAGCTTTACAAATGTTTTATTCTCACAATAATCCTGGGAGGTCGGTAATGTTATTATCCCCATTTTACAGATGAGGAAACTGAGGTCTACAGAGGTTAGGTGACTTGCCTAAAGGTCACACAAGACGTAAATGACAGAGAGAATTTGAACCTAGATCTTCCTGACTGTAAATCTAATATTTTATCCACTTTACATACAAGTATTATCATCCCCATTTTATACATGAATAAACTAAGGCTGAGAAACTAAATGATTTGCCCAGGACTTACTACCAGAGGCAGGATTCAAACTCTATTCACTATGCTGTACTGCCTCACAATGTAGTTTTAAACTTTAATAGCTAACCAAGCCATGGGTTTGATATCTATTTAATAGCTTTGTAAACCAATCCAATCAACTTGGGAGGACATGTGGTGACATAGAAAGAAACTGGATCAGGAATCAGGCTAATTGGCTTCCAGGCCTGTATCTGACCCCTATGAGTAGAGAGACCTTGGATAAATTAATTTCATTTTTCAGGGGCCTCAGTTTCCCCATATGTAAAATTAGAGGGTTGGGATAAAATCCTTTTCAAATGTAGTACTCTGTAATTCTGATTTATTTTCATGATATGCATGGAATATAGTTATTGTACTGTAGCAAATCAAAGATCAATATGTGGCATATGATTGCCACCAAGGATTTTGTTATCCAGCCTGAAGGTGTGTGGCATCCCTGCTGATGCTCATGGTTTTAGGTTTTAGGGAGGAAGTATAAGATCCACTTTCAAGGTTTACTCTCTTGCCTTAAGGTGCAGTAACACATCACTAACAGAGGTCCTAATGCATCCTCTTTCAGCCTTAAACAACCAGAGCTTCTGGAGGTGAAGAAGCCTTGATACAGAAGGGAAGAAATGACCAGGATCAGTATTCAACCAATCAGTCAACCAGCTCCACCCTTGTGCCATACTTAGAGCTAGGCAATAGAGAATCAAAGACAAAAAAATGAAACCTTCCCTGAAACCAAGTCAGAGAACTTCCATTAGATGAAGGGTGATAGAGCCCAACTATTTATGGAAGGGCTGGCACCCCCTGGTCTAGAAAGAGCCCATCACTGTCCCTCAAACCCATGAATGAACTGTCCCCTGGGGAATGGCCATCCTTAGAGGGAAAAGTGACTGCTGACACCTAGAATATATTTTAGTGAAGAAACTAGCCCTTTAGGAACCAGGTGCCCAGGAGAAGAGATTAAAGCCACTGCAGGCATATCTAGTTAGAACTTAGAAAATCAGGCAGAAGAGAAGTGGCAGTAAAAATATTTGACAATTTGAATAAGAGCACATCAGTGTTGTGGCATAATGGAGTGGTAAGTGAACTGGATTTGGAGCTGTAGGAACTAGGTTTGAACATAATTCTGATACTACCTGGCCTCGAGCCAGAATTGACTATTTCGGTCTTGATCTTGTTTTGGTTTTAGTCTGTAGAGTGAGGGCGTTGGACTAGATTAATATTTTAAGGTCCTTTTCATCTCTATGTCCTGGGACCCATCATGGTAGAATGGAAAGAGTCGTATATTTGTAATGAGAGGACTTGAGTTCAAATTCTGACACTATTTTCAACCTCCAACACCTTGGGTAACTTACTACTTTGAGACTCAGTTTCCTTATCTGTAAAATGAGGGAGTTTATTGATCTTCAAGGTATCTTCTGGCCTATGATCCTTTGATTTATAATGCTTTGGGAACCCACATCAAACAGAATAAAGAAGCCTTGTACTGAGAAGGGCTGACTGAAGAAACTGGACAACTCCTCCATTCTTCCTGCACTGGACTGTGCTGTCAACAGCACTGGTTGACCCCTGATTTATAATAACCTTCTCTTTCCGGTGCAGGCTGCGTATAAAGTCAGTCACTAGAGGGAGGTAGAGTCCACAAAGTGAGTGGGTGCCTGGCTTTCCTTGCTAGTTGTCAGTAAATTTGAATTTGCTGCTCCGCTCCTCAAGATAATGGCAAATTGACTTTGCCAGTTCTCAGAATAAATTAATAGATTTTCTTATATGGAATTTCCCTCTCTCTCTCTCTCTCTCTCTCTCTCTCTCTCTCTCTCTCTCTCTTTTAAAAAAAGGCTGAGGTCATGACAGAGGAAGCAGTGAAAAAAGCCATCAAGAAAGTCCATGATAAACACCTGGAGGAAATAGAAACTTTAAAGGAAGAACACGAAAATGAATTGAAGGTTTGCACTGACTTGTTTGGTATTCTTGTAAACTCATTTAAGGCAGTGGGGAAAATATGGAAGATGGAGGTCAATGCTCCTCAGAGAAAGGGTAGGGAGGGGTGATGGGCTCACAGGAGTTTCAAAGGGGCTAGTAGGAATAGGAGGAATGGGGGGAGGGGAAGTCCTTCTGAGCCCAATAGTAAACAGCTGTACAGTGATGGAAAGACCATATCCACTGCTTGGGCTCCCTCCCTGTTTTTCCCTTCTTGAGTCACCATGCTGAAAGGGAAGTTGGAGCCATGGAGTTCCACAGGGTAGACATGGCAAATTTTAGGCCAAGTCATAGAAAGCTATCTTTCCTGCTGTGGAAGCATCCAGGCCCCACAAAGGAAGGCAACTCTTAGAGCCATTCCTGAACTAAGAAACCAAAAGGTGAGACTGGCAGACTTCCCAGGAAGAAACCCAGCTGAGTAGCTTAGCTAATTGTCTCTGACTTCAGAAAATGTGCTCTGAGAAATAGGCTTCAAATTAGCCATTTTGATTTTCTGTCCAGGAAAGATTGATGCTATAACAATAACAACAACAATAATATAATGATAGCTAGATATATAAATCACTTTAAGGTTTACAAAACTAGAGCCTTTTACATGTGCTATCTCATTTAGTCCTCACAACAACCTTGGAAGATAGATGTTGTTATCATGGCCCATTTCACATATGAGGAAGCTGAGGCTGAGAGGGATTAAGTGACTTGCCCACAGTCACTCAGAGCTCGGGCACTAAACTGAGCTGCGTGCTTGCCGTGGTTGCCCACCCAGGAGGGCTTTCAGTGGCCCTTGGAATCAGTGGCCTGCACCAGCCACCTAAGGAAGGGCCTGAGCCTTGTGTCTGAGAGATGATTTCAACACAGGTTCTGATTCTAGGTCCATGGAATTAGTTGGGGGAAATTTGGCTCAAAGTTCAAGTTTTACTTAGGGAATGTGGTATGTGGTCTTATGGTTGTAAGATTATAGGGTTGGGTTATTCAAAAGAAGGCTCACGAATAGGGAGCAGAATCCCAATGCCAGTGGGCCAAAGGGAAGGGGGCAGGGAGGCATGTTGCTTTAGGCCTCGTTACCAGAAGGTAGGCAGTTCTGCAAAAAGTAATGATTGGGATGGTGAGCAACTGGGGAGATGGGAGGGTAGGCACTGGTTTCTTTCATATCTACTCAAATGTAAATTGGAGCCAACCTGACCATCTCAAATTCTAATAGGTCACGAGAGTTCTCAAAGCACTGGAGGAGAGAAGAGTAGACACTAGATTTTCTTTTGCCATTTTTTGCCTATTTAGCATTGTACCACTGTGCTACCTAGAAGCTTGAAGTAGCCAGGGAAAAAAAGAACCTTGTTCTTTTGTTTAAAGCAAATTATATTTGCAAAAAAGTGGGTGGTGGAATGGGAAGAGCTCTGCACTTGGAGTCAGATAACCTAACTAGCTCTACCAGAAAGCTGGTTCTGATATGTCCCTGCTGTGAGACTTCTCTGAAATTTAATTCCCCTAGCTATAAAATGAGAAAGCAAGAGCTGTCCTGCTACTTTAGAAGGGTATTGTTAGGAATGTGCTTGCAGAGTGCTATATAAATGAGAGAGATTAGATGGGAGATAATAAAATGTGAATATTTGAGAAAAGAATCTTGCATCTACAGAATTCTCTTTGCATGACTGCGCAGATACACTTGGACTTGAGGGCTGGATATTTCTTTTTCAAACTAATTTATGTCTCTCAATAGCTATTTGGTTTTTGTTTTTGTTTACTCTTTTTTGCTTTGATAGTATTTTTCCTTCCTTTTCATCTTTGGCCACTATTCAGGGTTACATTTAACTGTGGAGCATCAACAATAGAATTATTTTCCAAAGCTGACTGATAACTCAGCATAAGGTGGTGAAAAGAGTGGCTGCAGTCGGGATGCGTTTATGGGTGTCTAGTACCCAGACTGGCTTTTGTCGTCTGGTTGCTTAGGCAATTGACTAAAGCATTCAAAGCCTCAGTTTCCAAATCTACAAAATGGGGATACTTACCAACTTTGAAGCACTGTCCTAAGGAGCAAATGAGATACCATACGTGAACATGATTTGAAAGTATGGGACACTCTGAAGATATTGAGTGGTTCTGTAATTCCCAGAAGAGTATTTTTAAGATAAGGTAGCCATCACTGTATATATTGCTTATATTTAGGAGCATCTACCTTCAGTATTATCTGGAGGAACTCAGATCAAGGACTGCTTTTACCTTGGGGAGAAGGGAACTATTACAAATCTAAGCTCAACCTGTATCATAAAATAACACAATCCGTTAAGTTCCAGGATTTGTTCATTTGTTAGTATGGTCCATTTTATTTAAGGAGCCAAACTTCACTCTCTATATATCAAGGATCCCAATAGTAAAGACTGTCACCTTGAGATCATTATGACTCCTAGTTATACCTGTTTTTCCTTATCATGCCCCACATCTTTAGCACCTAGATGTAAGTTTGTAGCTTCTGGGGTCTCTCTTACATAGTAGTGAGTATTTAAAATAGTGCCTTCTATGTACCAGGCACTATGCTGAGCACTTTACATATATCTCATTTGATCTTCATAATGAACCCTGTGAGGTAGGTGCTATTATTATCTTGCATTTTACAGTTGAGGAAATTGAGGCCAATTGAGGTTAAATAATTTGCCCAAAGTCATACAGTTAATATATGAAGCCAGATTTGAACTTAGGTCTTCCCAACTACAGGCATAGCACTCTATCCATTGTGCCACCTAGCTGTCTCATGTGGGTCCCCAGAAAATCCATCTCAGGCTCAGCCTATCATATGCTGAAGGTTTTGGAGCCAAAGCAACTTAAATCGCTTAGACCTGTGCCCCAGGAAGGTTATTTTTGCCGCTATGTGGAGGATGAATTACAAAGGGAAGAAACTGGAAGTAGGACAGCCAATTACAAGGCTGTTATTGTACTCCAACATTTAAAAAAAAAAGTCTTCACTAGACCTTGCCATCCCTTAAAGGATAATAATCATATGTCTTATTTCCCCTTCTCAGCCTAACTCCAAAAACATGCTATCAATACTCCTTGCTTTACTTCCTCTCTTCTCATTCTTCAGTGCTTTGCAATCTGGCTTCTGACCTCATCACTCAACTGAAACTACTTTCTCCAAAGTAAGTTATCAGTGATTTTTTAATTGCCAAATCTTATGGTCTTTTCTCAGTCCTCATCCTTTTAGATCTATCTGCTATATTTGACACTGTTGACCACCTTCGTCTCTTAGATACTCTGTCGCCTCTAAGCTTTTGAGACATTAGACATTATTCCCTCCTGGTTGTCCTGTCTAATTATTCCTTCTCTGTCTCCCTTGCTAGCTTATCATCCATGTCATACTCCCTATCTCAAGGTATTCTCTTCTTTTCTTCAGTCACTGCACATTCTTTTTGTGGCTTCATCAGCTCTCATGGGTTTAATTATCAAATCTATGCAGAAGATATCTCAAACCCAAGTCTCTCCCCTCAGTTTCAGTCCCATGCCATCAATTGCCTCTTGACCATTTCAAAGTGATGGTCCCAGAGACATCTCAGACTCAACATGACCAAAAATGAAGTCATCATATTTCACCCCTCACCAAGCCAATTCCTCTTTTAAACTTCCCTGCTTCTGTAGAAGATACCACCAGCCTTCCAAGTTTCCCATTTTCATGACCATTATCCTTTTTTTTTTTTTCTGGCTAGGCAGTGGGGTTAAGTGACTTGCCCAGGGTCACACAGCTAGTAAGTGTTATGTGTCTGAGGCCGGATTTGAACTCAGGTCCTCCTGAATCCAGGGCCAGTGCTCTATCTACTGCGCCACCTAGCTGCCCCCTAATGACCATTATCCTTAACTCACTCTGACCCCACATATCTAACCAGTTACCAAATCTTACTGTTCCTACTTCTACAACATTATTTACATCCAATTCAATGTTTCTTTTCATACCACCACAACCAGAGTTCAGGCCCTCATCATCTCCTGTCTAGACAATAGCCTCCTAATTGGATTCCTGCTTCAAATCTCTTGCCCCTCTAATCTGTCCTCTACACAGCTACCAAAGTAATTTTTCTTAAGCACAAATCTCTAGTCAGACAACTTGTGGTTCCTTACAGCTTCTAGGATCAAATATTAACTCCTTTGTTTGACTTTTAAAGCCCTTCACAGCCTTGCCCCAATCTATCTTTCCAGCCTCGTTGTATGTCCCTTTCCCCTATGCATTCCGCAGTCCAGCTAAACTGGCCCTCTCTTGTTCCTCACACACACACTACTGCGTCTTTCATTTGTATGCCTTTGTAGTTACTGTTCCCCCATGCCCATGTAACCCCATATCTGCAAAGAGTCTAATGGGTAGTGTGGTTTTTTCCACATAGAGGAAGGGACTGCAGGATCATGAAAGGTGTGAGCACTAGTTATGCAGTGGTGCTTATGACTAAAACCAGGAGGAGGCTTGATTTGTAGCCTGCTCATCCAGAAGACATTTTTAATGAAAACTCGTAAGAGAGGTTCAATAAGGAATTATTCATTCCTATGGGACTTATCGGTTAGGAGTATTAGTGGCAGAAGGGATATGGATTCTTATTCTGCAAGGGGAGAAGCAACTATCTGGAGGACACTGTTTCTCCACAGCAAGCTTTAAGAATGCTCACTCAGACAATAGAGAAGAATATAAAAAAGGAGCAAGGAAGGCCTAGTTTCTAGAACGTCTGAATATGGAACCAGGCTAGGTAGTGCAATGGATAGAGTACTAGACCTGGAGTTAAGAATGCCCTCAGTTCAAATCCTTCCTCAGATACTTAATAGCTAAGTGCTTTACAAAAGTGTGACTCTGGGCAAGTCACTTAATCTCTGTCTGCCTCAGTTGCCTTAACTGTAAAATGGGTATTATAACAGCACCTACTTTGCAGTATTGTTGTAAAGCTCAAATGAGATAATATTTGTAAAGTACTTAATACAGTGCCTGGCATAATGTAGTTGTTCAGTCATTTTTCAGTTGGTTCTCACTCTTCATGACCCCATTTGGAGTTTTCTTGGCAAAGATACTGGAGTAGTTTCCATTTCCTTCTCCAGCTTATTTCACAGATGAGGAAACTGAGGCAAACAGGATTAAGGGACTTGCCCGGGGTCACACAGCTAGTAAGTATATGAGGTCAGATTTGAACTCAGGGAACTTCCTGAGTCTTCCTGACTCTAGGCCCAGAACTCTATGCACTGTGCCACCTAGCTGCATATAGTAGGTGTTATATAATACTTCTTCACTTCCCCTCATCCACCTAGCATCATTAATTGATAAGATCTCTATACAATCACCTATTTCTTCCTCTGTGGTAAAAGCAATATTTCCTAGGGCCTATCATAGAGACTAAGCTAGCTTTTCCTTGAACCTCATACCACACAGGGTAAACTAGTTTTTCTTTAAAAAGTACTGAAACCATCCTCAAGACTTAATTGCCTCAGAAAATTAAGGCTTAAGCTATTGATTGATAACTTCCTAGTAACCTAGATATTAAAAATGCAAGGCATAAGGAACCACCTGACTCTTCCTTTAGGCTTCTGACTGGCAGACCAGCATGTCCCTCATAGGCACGGGGAAGCTGAGTCAATGCTATGTCTGATGGGTATCCTTTCCATGCTATGGCTAGGTAATTCTGCTTTTGATAACTGATAGATAGACTATAAAAGAGATGGTGAGTGACAGAAGGCAGCATGAGACATTATTTAATCAAAACCTAGGCTTGCTGAGAGAAAAAAGTGAAAAGAGTCTTAGCCTGGGGCCCCACAGTGGGGCTTGAGATGAGTACTAGAAGGGAAGTCCCATCAATTGTATAACCATAGCACCTTCACCCTGACGCCAATATCTCTCCTTCTCCCCATTGACTTGCTTCTAAATAAGTAGTGGAGATAATGGTGATAGAGTAGATAGGGCTATGCTGTTCTTCTCCCAGTGCCAATAGGGTATGAGCCTGGTGGGAAAAAAGTTTTGAATTTTATCATATTGGATCATAGAACTAAAATTGGAAGGGATCTCAGAAACCATCTAATCCAACCCCCTCATTTTACAGATGAGGAAACGGAGGCCCAGATTTTCCCATGGTCACACAAGTAGTAAATTGCAAAGCTAAGATTCAAATCCATGGGTTTTTTTTAATTCCAAATCTAGTGCTCTTTCCACTATGTGACACTGGCATAACCAGGGTAGACTATTAAAAAATCATTTAACTTACCTGAAACACTAAATAAATATAAATATGTTACAGTAACACCATCTATCTGGATCTGTGCAGTATAGAAGTCTCACCCATTTGTAATACAAGCCCAGTAAACAGTCAAAAGAGATATCACAAACTCCGCATGGTAAAGGAGACCCTTTACACAGAGGGGAGTCCCTCAAACTATTGCTAAGAGCTATTTACTCTTAATACTATCTAGGTGTTCAGGTTTCTAAGCTCAAAGTTGATCAGAAGCAGTAAATTAGAAGTGAAGAGAGAGACTGCAATTGACAATTTCATTGACAGATAAGGGAATTGGGTAGAGCCAAGATGGCAGAGTAGAGGCAAGAGCTCAGATGAACTCTTCCAATATTCCCCTCCAAACAGCTTTAAACTACTGTCTTAAATTGAATTCTTGAGCAGCAGAGTCAATAAAAGGTTAAGGTGAGACATTTTTCCAGTCCAAGACAACTTAGGAGGTCAGCAGGAAAGGTCTGTGACACTGAGGTGGGGTTCAGCCCAGAGCACAGTGCACACCACTGCAAGAACCTCCAGCAGGCCTTGGAAGCTGCTGCAACAGTGGCAGCAGCAGCTTTGGGGGCTTTCAGCCCACAGATGGTAAGATGACTGGTCAGAAAGAGATTAAGGGTTACCCTCTCCAGTACTGGGTTCAGGACCCTATTGCATTGCGCATAAGCAGTTCTGGATTGCAGTTCCAGGATGAAGAGGAGCCCTAGCACTTGGGGCCACTAGGGAGAAAAGGCCCTGGTCACAGTCTCTGGGCAAAGAAGAGTGCTTGTGGCCACATAAAAAGAAACATAAAAGGGACATGGTCAGTTCCAAGAAAGGAGCCCTAGTGCTTGTAGCCACAGGAGCACAGGGGCCCAAGTCAGAGTTCCAGGGCCAAGAGGAGTGCTAGCACTTGGGGCTACAGGGGAACAAGGTCCTTTTCTGGGTAAAGATCAGAGCACAAGCCAAAAAGGAGAGCAGTGACCACACCTCTTCTTGGATCGTGCCGCCTTGGGAGAACCAAAAACTCACAGACCCTCAGAACTTGCTTTGAAAACAGCAGCATGAAAAACTTGAAGCTTGGTATAGTTCTCTCACCACTTTAGGAGCAGAGCCCAACTTTAACATAAAGTTAAAAGCCAAGAAATAGACTTGGAAAAATGAGCAAACAACAACAACAAAAAAAGAACCTGACCATAAAAAGTGACTATGGTGACAGGGAAGATCATGACGTGAACTTATAAGAAGACAACAATGTCAAAACAGCTACAAGCAAAGCTTCAAAGAAAAAAAAGTGAATTGAACATAAACCCAACAAGAATTCCTGGTAGAGCTCAATAAGAATTTTAAAAATCAAATGAGAGATAGAGAAAAAATTGGAAAAAGAATTGAGAATGATGCAAGAAAATTATAAAAGAGAGTCAACAGCTTGGTTAAAAAAAAACAGGTAAAAGAACTAACAGCTGACTGAAAAGAGTGGGGGAAAAAGAAGGAGGAAGGGATGGAAACAAAAAAAAAACTCTAAAAAGTATTTCCAAGAATTCAAAATTCACAGTCTTCTGAAGCCTCTTATCAGAGGGGTAAATAATAGGATGTTTGGATCTTACTGTATTTATGATCCAATTCATAATTATGTGATAATACTTATATGCAATTCATAATTATAAACATATGAAATATATTTAAAAGATTGATTCTGACTCTCCAAGAAAGGTTTGTTAGAACACAGTATACTTTTGTTTTTGTTTTTTTAACAGGGCTAGGAAATGTATAATACACACAGGATCATAGAGTTACAGTTAAAAGGGACTTCTGAGATCACTTATTCCAACCTCTTCATTTTACATATGAGGAAACTGAGGTCCAGGGAGGCTAAGTATCCTACCCAAGGTCAATGAGGTAATAAGAGGGTCCCAATCAAAAGAAATATTCAAAATAAGTATTATAGAGTCACCAGGAGGTCTGCAAGCCCTAAGAAAAAATCTGTTATCTAGAGCTTCATTTATCGATCACAGATCTAGAATTAGAAGGGACTTTAGAAGTCATCTAGGCCAGTCCCCACTATTTCACAAATGGTGGGGCTGAGGCCCCAAGAAGTGAAGCGAATTAATTACTCAAAGTGATACAGGCAGTGAGTGGCAGAGCTAGAATTCAGACAAAAGTCCTCTGACTCAAAATCCAGTGTTTGTTCCACTCTACCATACCCTTCCCAATCATGGAATGTTTGGCACTTTAAGATGCTGTGAAGGAAATAAAAAGTATGTAAAGTGGGGCAGCTAGGTGGCACAGTGAATAGACCTCTGGCCTTGGAGCCAGGAGGACCCGAATTCAAATCTGGCTTCAGACGCTTGACATTTATTGGCTGTGTGACCCTGGGCAAGTCACTTAACCCCAATTGCCTCACCAAAAAGCAAATGAACAAAAAAAGGATATAAAGTATATAAAAATGTCTTATAAACTTAAAAGTACTATCTCATTACCAATGTTACTGGTGCTTTATCATGGGAAACATTGCAGCTTTCCCCCTCTGCAATAGCATCTGGACATGGTGTTGTCCCTATATTCATTTATATAATTTGAAGGTATAATTCAGCATCATCCACTATATTTAAATCCTATTTTAATGTTGCTTAAGGAAAGAGTGAAACTCGCTAAGCAAGAGATGAGAGAGGTCATGGAAGAGGAAATGAGGAGAGAAAACAGGGCTGCTGAACAGCGCATGGTCCACAGAATCCAGAAGATCCTGAAGGAGTGCCATGATGAAAAGCTCCAGGCAATAGAAGAAGTCAGAGCTGAAGAACAACAAATAGCTACTGAACTACTGAATAAGCAGATGAGGTAGTCTTCAAAATCCCCAGGCAAAAATCCTGTTTTTTTCCTGTCCAAACCACTTCTAAGTAAATGATAAAAGACTTTTTTTGTTGAGGTTTCCCTAAGTGTTCCATCAGAAATGATCGCCAAGAGATAATGTGGTGAATAATAGTGAGATCCAGGGAGTGACCATCCTTATTCATAGTTGAGGTGGAGTGAAGGAGTAGAGTAGGATTTCAAGAGATTTAGGAATTGAGAGATTGGATAGTTGTACAACTCAAACACCACCTTCTTCGACATTAAGCCTTTCAGGTTCTCCCTCAACTATACATGCCCTCCCTCCCTAACTACCTTGTATTTAGGATAGGGATAGGCACTGAACCTGTCATTTCATTGTTTTCCTCGGTGAGGAAACTCCCCCTTTCATTGCAAATTGTCGCCTTCTTTGCCACTTAAAGCAGAGGTTAGCAGATTACTGGCTCAAAGGCCAAAACCATTGCAAGTTAAGAATGGCTTTTACATTTTTTAAAATAAAGTTTTATTGTATTTAAAAGTCTAGGAACTATTTACCGTTCACAGCTTTAAAACAAACAAGTAGATGGGCCAGATTTGACCCTGGGAGGTAGTTTCCTGACCGGTTTTTAGAAAGTTGTCCAAACCACAGAAATGTTTAAGTGACTTGCTAGAGTGGGTCACACAAGTTAATATGTGTTAGAGTTAAGACTTGAACTCAGGTCCTGGCTTTCAGGCTGGCTCCCTGCTATGTCATACTATTCTTTCATCTTGTATTTGTTTTTTTAATATTTATTCTACAATCACTTACATTGTTGCCTCACCCACTAGAATGTAAGTAGGGAATCACTTCACTCTTTGTATTTGTACTCCCAGCACCTAGCCCACTGCTTGGCATAGAGGAGGCAATGAATCCATGCTTGCTCATCATTGATGAATGGGTTGATTATCGATTGATTGATAACCTAATGGTCCAAACCTGTGTCGTTATTTTTAGGAAGAATGAGGAGAAAATCCGGGAAGTTGGGATTCTCTCTCACAAGACTCTTGAAAAAAGTATAAAAGAAGTCACCAGAGCCACGAAATACCAGATGAGCATTGCTTTTAACCTTAGCCAAAAAGAGAAGGAAGAAGAAGTTAGCCAAGTGCTGAAGGAGGTGGAGAAGTTCCGTAAGGCTACCATAAGGAAAGTTTGCAAAAAGCTGACCCGCACTGAAGACAAGCTGCAGGAGAAGACCGAGCGTCTGGACAACATGACCCAATGGAAGGACTTCCTGGAGGGGGAGCTACTGGAAACCCGTGAGGCGTTTCAGAAATACATTAATTCTACATTTCCGATGCTTGCACCAGGGCAAGCAGATTTTATTCTACCACTAAGAAAGAAACTACCCATTGATATAGAAGAATACACTGAAGGCAATATTAAACCATTCTAGAGTTGAGATCACCTGAAAAGTCAGTTGTTATTCTGATCACTAAATAAATTCATTCAGTGAGTCTTCCTTAGGGTTAGCCAGCTAGTTAGCCCAATAGCTGGAGCAGTGGACTTGGAATTTCAAATACTACCTGAGCCGCTTACTAGATGTTAGACCCTGGTTAAAGTCAGTCAGTCAACAAGCATTCGTTAAATAATTACTGCGTCGGAGCAGCTAGGTGGTGCAGTGGATAGAGCACCGGCCCTGGAGTCAGGAGGACCTGAGTTCAAATCCGACCTCAGATGCGTAATGCTTACTAGCTGTGTGACTCTGGGCAAGTCACTTAATCCCATTTACCTCGCCAAAAAAATAAAATAAAATAATCACTGTGTTCAGGCACTGTGGTAAGCATTGAAGATAACAAGGAAAGGGAAGAAAACAGTCCTTGCCTTCGAATAAGGTGCATTTCAATCAAGGAGGCAACATGTAAATAACTAAATACATGTAAGATATGTACAGAAGGTAATCTAAAGGAGGAAGGCATTAACGAGTGGAGGGACTGGTTAAGGCTTCATGTAGAAGGTGGGATCTGATCTGAATCTTGAAGAGAGTGTAAGGATAAGTGAGGGTTAAATTGTAATGTAGCACAGTTTTAGGGAGTAGTCTTCTATAATTCCCCAGCTCCTTCCAAGGACAGGTGCACATACTGGAATCAAAGTAAACAGATTGTTCTGTTAATGTTATGTCAACGTTATTGATGCCCCTAGGTTATGATAAATTTAGCAGTGAAGAAATAATGGGGTGATGGCTGTGGGAAATAGTTGTATTGAGATAATTTCTAAGAAACAGTTACATTAAAATAAGTTCTAAGAAATGGTGGTATTGTGCACAAGTTGTTTAGATGCCTATAGAATTTATTGCTCTGTTATCTGTATTTAAAAAAAAAACACTCTTGTGGATTTCTCTTGTAGTGTCTTTCACAAACTACCTATATACATGAATATTCTCTGGATGCTCCTATTTTCCTCTTTCCATAAACTCTCTGTTATTTCAAAGATTGTCTCCACGCAGGTTCATCTCAACCTAACAGAAGCGTGGTGGAGGTAAAGGGGCAGAGCATTCCAGGCATAATCTTGCTTTGCTGAAAGGGTTGAATACAGGGCTGGCAACAGACCCTGACTGTCACCACAGAACAAGCCTGGCTAATTATGGGGAAACTTGTCTCCAGCGGATTGGTTACTAAGTGATTAGACAAGGGGAAAGAAAGGGAATAAGCATTTGTGTAATGCCTACCATGTGCCAGGCAATGTGCTCAGTGCTTTACAAATATGATCTCATTTAATTAATTAAGCCAGTCATTGTATATCATGAAACTTTTGGAGGAAGTGTCCATACTGATAAAACCAGGGATCTTTTGGATTATTTTAATTAGAAATATGTGATAAAAAAGGCAACATAGTGATAAAGAACTTGCCTTGGAGTAAAGAAACCCTGGGTTCAAGTCCCACCTTTGACATATACTGGCTGAATGACCTTAAGACTATTAGTTATGGGAACAATTACAGATTCACATTGCTAAAGGGAGTCTCTTCACTGAGCATTCTCTACACATGTGATGACATATGATAATAAATATTTTTTAGTTCTCAATATGTGCTAAGAATTATGCTAAGTGAGAGATACCTCACTACCCCCACAAATATGATATGAAATATTATGATATGATATATAGTCTCAACTTATAGAATGCTCTATAGTTAGAAGCATTTTATGTATGTAATTTAATTTTCACAACAACCCTGTGATATAGATAGTGAAAGCATTTTCAACAACCTCATTTTACATACGGGGAGACTGAAAACCTTAAGTTTATTGTAATGAGAGTAATAACAATAACAATAATAAATACATTTCTATGACATTGAAGGTTGTCTTTTGTACTTCCTTCAAAACAGCATCTTGAGATAAATAGTACAATATTTATCCCCACCTTACTTATGAAACCAAAGTTTAGAGGATGAATGCTTTGCCCATGGTAGTTCTATCAACATAGAGATTCAAACTCAGGTGTCCTGATTCCAGGTAATAATAGCTAGCATTTCCATAGCATTTTAAGGTTTGCAAAGACACATATTATATCATTTGATCCTCGCAATAACCCTGGGAGCTAGGTGCTATTGTTGTCCCCCTTTTACAGATGAGGAAATGAAAACTAAGGAAGTTAAATGGCTTGCCCAGGTCACATAGCTAGTTAGTTAAGTGTCTGAGGTAGGATTTGGATTCAGGACTTCCTGACTCCAAGACCAATACTCTATCCGTGACTATACTACCTGTCTTCCCAAATTCAACTTTTTTATCACTCCAGTTTTTCTCACTTGCAATCCAACTCCCAAGGCAAAAATTTTCTCACTATATTATATCCCTCTCCATTGCTCCTTCCTCTCTTCCTACACACATGCCCAGGTCTCCCCACTCCAAAAATATTATTACTTTGACCCTGCCAGCCCATTAGTCTATCTTCCTATTTCTCTTCTCTCCTTCACATCCAAACTCCTAAAAATTGATCCTTCCATTGTCTCACCATCCACCAAATTCCTCAGCCCCTTAAATCTGACTTTCCTGAAAAAGCTGTTTATATCCAATGGCTTTTTTTTTTCTAAAGGCCTCACTTCACCTGCCTACATCTTCCTGAAGCATTTGTTATTTTATCATTATTACTCAGTTACTTAGATAGTCTCCCAAGCCAACTGCTCTGTAAAAATGGGCAGGGGCCAAAGAGTAACAGGCTGTTGCTACACACATAATTGGTGTTTAACATATGTTTTTTAATAGGACTAAATTGAATTGAATTTTCCCCCCAAATTCCAAAATTCTGCAAGAAGCCTTTCCTGACCTAATCTTAATGCTAATGCCTTCCCTCTGAGATTATCTCCAATTATACACACACACACACACACACACACACACACACACGTATATACTATATATGTATGTATATCTTATTCACACATAACTATTTGTTCTCTCCCCATTACACTATGAGTTTTTTGAAAGAAGAGGCTGCTCTTTTGCCTCTCTCTTTGCATCCCCAGTGTTTAGCCCAGTAGCCCATAGATGCTTAATAAACGCATGTTAACTTGACTTGAAAATCACACAGCTAACAAGCATCAGAGAAGAGACTCAAAATCCAATCTTCTGACTCTGACTCTAGTGCTCTGCCAACTATGCCATATTGCCTTTCCCAAGAAGTTCTTGAAGTCATTGCAGGACCATCTGGTAGAGTAAGGATGGTTCAGACATCCTAAGACCACTACTGGAAAAATAAGTCAAACCCGGGACCTTATTGATTGTGGAATCTTGAATCAAAAGTCTTGGTTGCCCTGATGGTGGTTGCTCTATGTTTGACTCATCAGTCATTGCCTGGTTGCATCTCATGTTGGTCAGCCTACTTAGGAGACCAGTTCACAAGGAAGAGGCCAAAAACAGATTTCTCCAAGGAGAAGCAGCTTGTTTCCATGACTCAAGGTAATTTTTTTGAAGGGGCAATCAATACTGGCATCCTCCCTGTGAGCAGGTCTGTGCTCCTGGAGGAGAATTTCTGCTGAAAATCAGCATTAAAATAAATAACATTGCTAAGAAGGCTCTTCCCCAAGGAGTTTGTTGAGGAGTGAAGTCTTGTCTTAAAACTCAGGTGAATATTTCAAAATCCCCTAGCACATTATAATGGGGCTTTGCTTTCTACTTCTGTTTGTTTGTTTTTGGTGAGGCAAAAAAGCTATACCATGGTACTTTAAGGGGCTGTGAATTTTACTGGGGATACCATGAAATTTTGGATGTTCCATTATTGCATATAAAAGTAAATATGTAAATAATTTTGCCCAGTACATATTTACCTACTGTATAAGTAAGTAAGGTAAGTGTATTTGCAAAACAAACAGAATTTGTCCATTACACAAATATATTAACCTCAGAACAGTTCATGCCCTGAGCTCACAAAGATGGCCACTCATATCGCAATGCAACTGAACTGGCTTGTCCTACCAACTCTTCCATAATAATGCTGACAACTTACACATTCAGTGTGCCATAAATGCTCATGGCAAAGAAGACAGTGCCATGAGTGAAAACATTTGGGAACCACTGGTGTAGCACCTCAGTCTGTGGTTGTTCCCTATGTTCTCTCAAACCTACTAACTTTCTAGTTTACCTAATTGGCTAAAAAATAAAGCAAATAGGATTATCTTTGACTTTTCTCTCTCTTTTCCATCTCAAAGCCAATCAGTTCCTGAGTCCTATCAGTTCTACCTTTAAATCCTTTCATATCCATCCCCTCTTTTCAAGACCCACTGCCACCATCCTAGTACAAAGTCTCATTATCACCTGACTCAGCTATTGCATTATTCTTCTAATAACTGTTCCTGGGAGGCAATGTGATGTAGTGGAAAGAGCTTTGGCTCTTGAGTCAGAGAAACAGAGTTTAAAATCTTGAATCTGATGCTTACTTACCTATATGACTTTGGGCAAATCACTTAACCTCCCTGGATTCCTCACCTAAAAAATTAGAAAGTTGAATTAGATGGCCTCTAAACTTCCTTCCAGCTCCAAAATCTATGTCCTAAGTCATCTCTCTGCTCAAAATTCTCCAGTGGCTTCCTGTTGCCCTTCAGGTAAAGTTCTGAACTCCTTTGCCTGATCCTCAAAGCATACCTGGTGCAACTGTATCTTTCTGAGCTGTTCTTCTATCACTGTCCCCTATACCATCTATCCCATAGCCAGACTGGACCACTTTTTGTCACTTGAACCCTCTCTGGATACTCCTCTAGCTCCATGCCTTTAATATGTTGGTCTCTATTCCTGCTGAATTCCTACCTGTTACAGTACATATATGAAATTACATTACATTAAGTTACATTACTTTACATATATTAAATCCCTTGCGACTATCGGTCCCTGAGCATGAAGTGGAAAACAGGAGGAAGGAGCACTTGCCTTATGGTACAGTCAGGGTTTGGTGAAATTTT